GCGGTGAATAAGGCCCTGAGACCCCGTTTTACAAATTCCATGGACAAAAGAATGTCGTAAACAACCGGCTAGAGCAACAGAAATAGTTGGTTTAAAGTCCCACTTGTTTAAAGCAACTTTTCATCTACATGGCGACCTGTAAATGATCTAATCCAGATCAAACAAGCCAGTGACTGACATACTGAGGATTATCTTGGTTACAACCTTCCATTCGAGGTGGTTGGTAGCCTACTGGTTAAAGCGTCCACCCGGGTTCGATTCCTCACATGGGTTAAACGTGTGAAGCCCATTTTTGGTGTCCCCTTCCGTGATATTGCTGGAATAATGCAAAAAGCGGCATTAAGGTGAACCCACACACTCGATTCTAACGACAAGGTTGCTTGTAACCTGGACAGTTCAAATACATTGTACCAAATACGTGAAACAAAATTGTTAGACATGGCATATGGTGTCGATATAGCCGACGTGTATGCTAACTTGATATGTGACCATGAAGACAGCATCATTCAACGACTTGGAGCTACTACCGACACCATTCTTCGTAACTTTCCGCACAGAGATGAAATCAACGATGACGAGTTTACATCTATCTCAGTAGAGACTGATAATGAAAGGAAGAGTGGACTCTTCATCCGTATCCTGTTAAGGAAGAGGAGGGAGCATCTGTTGGAGGCATTCCTACACTCGGTGACTGGTGGAGACTACAGCGACATCTTGTGGATATGCTTCAAGGAGAGGCTGAACAAGTACCAGGAACTGCAAGGCAAGGTACCTAGTTTGACGCATGCTTAGCTCATGATTTAGCATTATTCTGTGAGTGCATGTGATGGATACCCACGAAGCACAAGAACCTAAAACATTTACCAAGTATAACATACTCGTAATACAGGGTGCTGTCTACCGCGCCTCGAGTGCGAGCAGGTTTATTTCTGAAGTTTACATAGCAAGAACTCATCGACACGGATCACAGATATAAATGCGATAAACGCGCAAGTCCATACACTGCCCAATCGGATATCCTTCCATAGTTCGCACGAACACAATGCCGGATCTCCACGTAATCATGCATCCTTGAGTCTTGTATACATCTGAGACGACTCAGCCCTGAGCTGAACTGCCTCTGAAACAAGGTCCATAAAAGCCATCGATACAATTGCAAACTTCTATAATAAGTAACTCTAACGTTGACTTAAATGGAAATATAATCCCTTGCTTTACTTAATATTCGGGAACATAACCCATCGTTACTTTAAACATTTGCAAGTAACTACAGAAAAACAAACCATTTAAGACCCACACAAGAATTGCCAGCCTAAACATAAAGCATACTTAACTTAGAATATTGACCGTTCCACTCCATAAGATTCGTCTCTGTTGAGTTGTTGGCTGTGTCCCTGTCACCAATCCCAGGATGCGTGCAATTCTTTCTATTTACTTCTGCTGATCCTCAATCAAGTAACTTTGTATATCACCATAACATCACATCCGTGGCCTGTGTACAGTACAGTGGCACGTGTGGCCTAGCACGACCCAGTGGCCTACATTCGTAACACACGGCCCAGTGGCCAAACACACGGCCCAGTGGCCCTGTCCCCAATGAAAACAAAAACCAAGGCAAAGCTACTCGCCTGAGTAACGCGTAGACCTCGAGTGACGAAACAATATCTTCAACCCACCTTGTAACCTTCTACCACGTGACTAAACAAGCACAACTTCTCGTGCAGCACATGCCTCCACGGTAGTCCGTCTAGACTACCGTATTTACCCTAGATAAATTTATTTATGTTCTAATTCGCTTCGCTCAAACGAACATAAAACATTTACCAAGTATAACATACTCGTAATACAGGGTGCTGTCTACCGCGCCTCGATATAAAAGAACGGGCCTGTTGATGCAAACCAACTTTACTTCCAACAAATGCCATACAAAAAACAACCTTCAAATTCCCAAATTTGCAGACACTAATAGTAATGAATTAACATCGTCTTTCACGTAACCGTCTTTTGCCGTCTCTGAAGCCCAGCGGCCATGTCTTTTGAACAATCTGTCCGGGACACCGGCGTTAGCAGCAGCACTGGCTCCCCCTGAGCGAAGACTGTGCAAACCAATTTTAGTGGCATCTTCACCAATGAACGTAATTTTCTCTAGGAATATTTCCCTAGCTCTAGTATAGGACAGCGGAAATTTCCCTTTCAACTTGTATTTGGATTTACTTTTACAATAACACATCTGTCTAAATATGTAATCTTCGGAAGAATCAACTATATCTGCTGCCTCAAGATACCTCTTTAACATAGTAACTGGACATGTAGGAGAACTAGTGACGGAGATCAAAACACTTCTCCCGTCTCTGTAAACGTCAGTTTTACTTTTACCGAGAAATATACTTATATAGCCTTTTTCAAAAGTAATATCATTTCTTTTTATGTTCACTACTTCAGAAAATCTAAAAAATCCTGCGTATGAGAGCAAAGACATTGATAAAAACCTTAAATCTGGCAAAGTAGCGTTGTTCCCACCAAACATCTGTACCAGCTTTAACAACATATCTGGGGTGACTGGATCTTTCTTAACCACAGGTTTAACACACGTTCTCATTGCTGATTCTTTAACATTAATAACCAGGTTATCTGCACAAGGATCAGGTAAACCTGCGATCCTATGAGCCCATGAAATACCGTAAATTGCTTCTATTATGCTACAACTATTTTTACCGCTTTGAATCAACGAGACTAAATACAGCGAAACATGAAATGGTGATGCTGGGAAAAAACTAATATCTTCAAAACTAGAGGCCCATTTTCTCCAGTTCTTATAAGCTCTCTTATACTTGCTTGTAGTAGTTGGCGCCCTTGATTTCAACACTACATCGGGTAACTTGTCAGCTAGAATCTGTAATCTCTCATCCTGAAGAGTTTTTCTCTCACGCCACACTCCAGCGGTAAACAGCTCTGAAAATGTCCAATGACATAAGTACCATTCTATATCCTTATGGCTAATGCATAACCCTGGAAATTGTCAAAAACAGATTTTCTACTGCCTCCCTGAAAGGAAGTACTACCGCTTAACTGAATAAAATCCTTTACAAAGGGGCGAACTGTCCCATTATCAAACAAAATTGACCAATACGATGCCGATGGCCAGTAGGGAATGACCAGTGTTGCTGGAGCCCTATTGTTCAGAGCATATTTAATAGCTTTTGTCACTAAAGATATAGGGGGAACTACCCAGTTGTTATCTCTAGACCAATCTTGAGTGAACGTATCGACCGCCTCCGAACCTGGATTCCAAAATCTGGAGTTAAACCTATTCAGCTTAGTATTGATATGACTGGCAAACCTGTCTACGGAGTGAGGACCCCACCTGTTGTTTAACAGCTGAAAAACACGATCCGATATGGTCCAATCATCATAATCGTGGAATTTACTCAAACTGTCCGCTTTATCATTCTCTGACCTAGGGATCCAACAGAACTGAAGATTTATGTTGTTTGACCTTACACATCTGAAGATGGACAGAGCTATCGCCTGCAGTGCGGGGAAAAACTACCGCAAGTAGCAATGTGACAACATGCTTTATTATCTGAAAACCACTTGACTGACTTATGTCTAAGAAGGTGTCGAAAAGACAACAATGCCAATTCAACAGCTTTTAATTCCCTCCAAGTTGAACTGAATGTTTTCTCCGAACTATTCCATGTACAGTGAAAAGTGTGGGTGGTATCCTGAATGAATGCTGCACAACCAATCGAACTAGCGTCTGAAAATACGCTTACGAGGGGGAGAGAACTCTTGCTGGAGACTTCTGCTATTAAAATTCAGAACATTATCTCTCCAAAATACTAGCTCTGACACAAACCCAGGATTATCATAAGAGGTAACGACTTTATCCCAGTGAGTGTAACCTTGTATCTGCAAATACATTTGCCTGGTTAATAACCTACATACGTCTCCAAATACTGGCATAAGGGAAATGACTTTACCGGTTAGTCTGGCAACGTCTCTTGGAGTAAACTTGGGTAGCAGTGACATAAACTTCGAAAAAACTTAGGTTTATATCGTCGAGTTTCCTGTAAGGAATGGAAATGACGCCGTTGTCAAGGTCCCAGTTAAAACCAAGCCATTCTAGCTGTCTTGAAGGTGCCCACACTGATTTCTGATCGTTGCAGACAAAACCTGCCTTAGCTAACGTAGATCTAACGAAAGATGAATGCTTGCTGCATAAAGCTAGAGTCTGAGCGAGGCCGAACCCATCATCCAGATACACGACGATATCAACGGAATTCTGTCTCCAATACTTCACGAGTGGTCTGAGACACTTGGTGAAAATATATGGTGCAGAAGTCAAACCGAAAGGGAGAACAGTAAAACAATAATACTTGATATAACCGTTATTATCTGTCCACGAAAAACCTAAAAAACTTGTGCTGATCTTTGTGAATATCAATGTGATGATAACCTGACTTTAAATCAAATTTAAACATGTATCCGCCAATATGAACAAGGTTCAATGCTACATTATGACCTTCAAGAACAATCTTCTCCTTCCAAACGTAACGATTTACTAACCTCAGGTCTAAAATTAACCTTTTCTTGCCTGATTTTTGAACGGACACTGACAGTGGGCTTATAATATGAGGTTTTTGTGTAACTTGCACTATACAATTATTTGCCAAGAGTTGTTGAATTGCGTCAGTCACAAACTCGCCATATTTAAATGCAGAGCAGTTGTTACGACTACACGAAGGAGGAGGGTTTCGACAAATGGAATAACATAACCGTGTTCTATGACTTGCAAAATGTAATCAGAAGCAGAAATTTGTCTCCAGAAGGCGACATGATTCTTAAGATTCCCTTTTACTATAACATGAGAACTATACTCAAACTCGAAATTTTCAGATAGATGCAAGGCACTTGTCTCAAGTTCGATACCTTCTAACCCTGCAGATGAAGTCGAATCTGAATAACTGTAAGTCACGGTTTCCGACGAACTCCACGCCTTAGTTTTCTCCAAGACTTTGTCTCTCACTGTATTTCTTGCGTCCTGTTGGGGAGCTACCCTCCCTGGAGTTCTGCTGGGCTGACCGGCGCAAAGCTGCTGCTGCAGGACACGTGGCTCGCCAGTGTCCGACCTCTCCGCAGAAGAAACATGGCCTGGAGACGGGGTGATGACGCCCGGAGTACTGACGAAAGGGCTGATTGGGAGGCTGAGATGTTGGTTGTAAAGTTGGTTGAGGATAAGGACTTGAGTTAACGGATCCTTGAGGTCCTCTGCCTCGGGGCCTGACGAACTCACGACGTTGTCTCTTACGAAGTGCCTTGGTCTCTGCCCTTTCAAACCGTCTCTCCTCCTCCGAATTAGAAGCAATTTCGTCACCTTCCAACTCCGATATCAATCCCCATCCCGACGGAGATCTGTCCGCCAGTCTGATGAACTTATTCCTCTTCTTAATAGAACATTGAATAGTGTCTATAAGTTCTAAACATTCTGGAAAATCTCTCCTGTTACAGTGTCTTCTAGCCGAATCTAGTCTGTCAGAAATATCAGAATTGAACTTGAATTGAATTTCGTTCCCTTTGTATTTAAAGTTTGGCGTATCAATTTTCCTCACCTTTTTTGAAAACACTGAGAGACCTTTCCTCGGACTCGTCGACAATGTCTCTCTTCAATAACTTCAGTTTGTTGTCCATGTAGTCCTTAAACAGTTGAAAGGACTCAAAAGGTTCCGAACTGGTCTCCTGTCTCGGCTCCTGAGAAACGTCCGGAGTAGAAGTCGTAGACTCTTGATGATCCATGAGGGACATAAGGGCAGAAACCAAGGCAAAGCTACTCGCCTGAGTAACGCGTAGACCTCGAGTGACGAAACAATATCTTCAACCCACCTTGTAACCTTCTACCACGTGACTAAACAAGCACAACTTCTCGTGCAGCACATGCCTCCACGGTAGTCCGTCTAGACTACCGTATTTACCCTAGATAAATTTATGATGTGTAAACTCCCTTAGTCGTTGAAGAATATGAGAAGCTTGATTGTTCCATAAGTTTCGGAATGGGACAGTTTCTAGACGGACGACTGTGATTACATATTCGATTCGAGGGTTTGCACGATCTGACTTTCGTCTTGTATAGTTGTAAAGAGAGCATGAGAAACCATTCAATGTCCTACTATCTTCGACCAGTCTTCATAAACCAGGGGCAGATCTAGTTCATGAGTCCGACAGTGAAAACTTGGGGACATGCTCTGACCACATATTTCAGGGCTTGTTACATATCGCTGATGACACCCATGCTACCTGTTGTATTGCCTTGTTTTGATTTTAAACCTTAGCTGAATATAATTTGTTGGTTTTTCGTTGACCTTGTATACTACTTTCACACTTTGGTTGCAGTATGTGCCGATTTCCATGTTAACATTCCGTTTCAATCTGGAAATCACCTCCTGACATTATGATATATTTGATGCACTAAATCTAAACATACCACATGAAATTATGCTTTGGAATATTTCAGTATCCGATGAAATAACTATAAACTACCGGGCAAAATAAAGTTATCAGTTTTAAAGTAATTGTATAAAAAAACGCTGGTACTCGTTATGCAATTTTTGAATGAACACTGTTATGTGTAAAAACAATTACCCCTTGGCTCTTTCTTAATGAATTGCGAAAAATGCTAGACTAGCATTTACAATAAATTTTCAGTCAAATTATTGGAAAATTATTTCTGTTTGTAAAATTATTATCATAAATCTCACATACGACTTTGTTTCAATTTTGGTCAAGTGAAGTCGGCGATAACTTTCTTTTGCCTGGTAGTTTATGTGCCGCATGTTGAAGATTTTCCCAAACTGCATTTCCTTCTCGAAAAATCAAATAAGTCAACTGAAGTAGGATTTAACTGTTCAGGTCTGTCTCTGCACTGAAGACACTTCATTAATAACTGTTTACAGACGGATTAGGCCTTGCGAGGGGAAGCCACACATGATTGTTCTTTGACTACCGCTGCCGACTTTATCAACACTGACGATGGCACAGCGACAGACTGGCTTGGAGACGAACACCGGCGTGGCAGAGACTCCGCGGCAACATGATCTGTATCTGGATGGGAAACAGACAGACTTCGGTCTGATAGCAATATAATGCATCTCAAACTTCACGAAGCGGAAGGTAGATTACGCTGTCATGAAAAGAAGATGGAACGAAATACGTGGTTGGGTTGCATGAAAACGTGCAGCAAGAAGCTGGACAACACCATTTTGGAGTTCTTGTTATATTTGTTGTGTAAGCAAATTATTATCTTACACCATTGATTTTTGTATTACCACAAAATGTGTAATATATTCTGAGATTTGTATGTCTTAATAAATTTGACATAAAAGGCGAGGTCTTTGAATTGCATTTAGAAGTGGTACACATAAAAGGGAAGGTTGCTGGATGTCGACTTTGTAATATTTCGGAGTATATCCTAACTCCTTCACCAGGTAAATTATGAAGTATGAATATACCTCGAAACCTCATGTTCGTCATATTACAGAAGCTGATATCCGTAAATATTCCCCTTTACAAGGGGCGAAGAATCTAACTTTCCTGTTTGTTCTTGATAATTTTTCGATTCTTGTGCGTTTGGTTTGATCGTTCATTGATTATTGTTGGATATTTTTACTATTTTGTGGATAATTATCAAATCTGTGCAAGGCTCACTCACATGGTTTAAAGACCGGCAAACCATTCGGTGTACAATGGTACGTATTCGGTCATGTCACCAAGTCGTGATCCGATTAAATTTTGTTGCCTTTTACGACAGGCATTAGAGAACGGGCACTTAAATGTACCCAGTAGTTCTGATGGTAATGATCATTAACCCGAAGCTCAAACCTATAGAGACCGCCTCCGTGGTGTAGTGGTTAGAGCGTCCGCCCGGAGTGCGGAAGGTCGAGGGTTCGATCCCCGACCGCGTCATACCAAAAGACGTTAAAATATGGTACTTGTTGGTCCCTGCCTGGCACTCGGCATTAATGGGTACAACAAGGACTGGTCGGCTCGGAGTCAGTATAATGTGTCTGAAGTGGGGTATTCATGATTCACTGCGGCATGGTATCTCAATGGGCTAGCACTATAAAACCAGCTTAAGTCTGGGCTAGTACAAGCAGCCGCACATACACATACACACGCATGCACGTCGTCATATGAGCGAAATATTCTCAAGCACGACGTTAAACCCAATTTCACCTCACCTCTCCTCAAACCTATAGAAGCTGCGACTTTACACATGCAGGACAGTACAGGACGTTGGCAGGATGTAGCTAGTCTTGTTATGTATTCATGAATGGAGTATCAAAGTGTTCGTCCTTCTATTTGGTTAGACAGAGGCGTCAGAGGTACGCAACCGTTTGGAAAAAATGTAAACTGGCGCACAAAAGAAAGTATACACCTGGTACTTTGGAATGCGTAAATATTTTGAAATATGTTTTAAGTGTGTATCTTACATTTCAGGGGCGGTGGGGTAGCCTAGTGGTTAAAGCGTTGGCTCGTCACGCCGAAAACCCGGGTTCGAATCCCCACATGGGTACAATGTGTGAAGCCCATTTCTGGTGTCCCCCGCCGTGATGTTGCTGGAATATTGCTAAAAGCGGCGTAAAACCAAAACTCAGTCAGTCAGTCAGTCTTACATTTCATAACATTGTCAATTAAGTACAATACATACAGTGTTTGTGACATGTAAATCACATATTTTTAAATATTTACATTGTTGTGTAGGGTTTTTTGGTTGTAGTTTTTTATAGTAATCCCAAAGCACAAGGTGTTAACTTTCTTTTGCACGTCAGTGTATGAAGCAGGCATGTGAATACAGACTAGCGGCTGTTTTTCAGTCAGAACAACTTCCAGTCGCCAGACAGGAACAGCTGACTGAGGGCCTGAGCAGGATAAGGCCCCCGTGCATAGTGTGTCAACAGACAGTATCAGTACTCACGAACATACTCCATTTGGGACATAATGAAACACCACACCAGAGCAGCCAAATGTCTATGAAATGTGTACTCAGTTTATGTTGGCCTTCGAAATGTTCCATTACAAATATCAGAAGTCGGATCTCTTCCTGCGTTGTCTGAGTAGGTACATCAACTGACATAATTTGAGATGGATTACCATTGTATGAATACGCTGCTGACGTACAGATATCAAGAAACGCTGGTGAGATGCTGGAGAACAGGTAAAGAAGAATGTGCTTGTAATCTCTAACGGCCGACCGACTCTGTGGAGGGTAATCTCATTACTGTCTCAGTTCGGTCATTGGTCTGTTGCATTTTTCATTGAATTGAAGGAGATATGGCGAAGTCGTATTTTCATCACGTTTCCACCATGACAGAAAATCCATCAGGTTCAACAACCCTTGGTGCTGATCAAGAAGTCGGCAAAGAGGCTGTCGGACGTTTGCCGTATAATATAATTATGGATTTTATATATGCTATGATTTATAGTTGCATGAGGGCCAAGATGCGTCCAAGCGAATGGAATGGTAGATATGACCGAGATTTTGTTTGGCTAAACACCATTAAATATGACCACCGTGAACAACTGTACATTTTTAATGTGCGGTTGGTATTGTGAAGGTATATATTGAATCTGAAGATAGTAATTATCGTAACAGATTGGAAGAGTAAATAAAACAAAACAAACACAACAGGAATATATCAATTGAATTCAAACCAGGAGTGAGTGTATGAGTATGGTTTTACGCCGCTTTTAGCAATATTCCAAATATCACAGCGGGGGACACCAGAAATTGGGCTTCACACATTGTACCCATGTGGGGAATCGAACCCGGGTCTTCAGCGTGACGTGCGGACGCTTTAACTATTAGGCTGTTAACTATTAATGTGCGGTTGGTATTGTGAAGGTATATACTAGTATTCAATCTGAAGATAGTAATTACCGTAACATATTGGAAGAATTGATGAAAACAACAGGAATGAATCAACTGAATTAAAACCAGGAAGCTATAGCAATAACACAACACAACAGTAGCTAATACAAATAATCTACCAGTGCGCATGTTCACAATGGCATGTGATGACATAGTGGAGACATCATAACTACTTACTGGCCACCTGGTTTCCAGTCCTGTCCTGTCCTGGTCTGGTAGTCAGTGTTCGAATCCCACACAGCCACACACACTTTATGCCTAGTTAAAGAAACGCTGAGCCTTAGTTAGTGAGTGAGTTTTACGGCGCACTCATCAATATTCCAGCTAGATGGTTGCGGTCTGTAAATAATCGAGCCTGGACCAGACAATCCAGTGATCAATATCATGAACATCGATGTACGCAATTGGGAACCGATGACATGTGTCAACCAAGTCCGCCAAACCTGACCCCTGATCCCGTTAGTCGTCTTTTACGGCAAGCATGGGTAACTGAAAACCAATTCTAACCCGGATCTTCAAGAATCCGCTCAGCCTTAACTTTGAATACACATCTTTTCAGCAATCAAAGAATAGTGATGAAACTACTATATATGTTTGTAAATTTTGAAAAGTTAAATATTCAAACCTGTGAGACAGCCAAATGGGTTTCATATTTCGATCTATGTATAAGATTCCCAGTGACAAAATCTCACCACAAGGCTGTGCGACAAGAGGGATGATTTCAACTTTCCCCCAATAGTCAACTTTTCCTTCATGTCCAGCAATATTCCAACAGCTCCTGCCTTTGGTGTTTGCATTGCACAACTTTCTACGCACAATCGAGCATTCTTTTTTACCAAGCTTTCAAAGAGCGTCATGCCACTCTTGCTTAGAAAGGCTT